AGAAGCCTGCTGCAGGGAAGGATGCTGGGCATCGCACACCAGTGGCCAGTGTTGGCTGAGTCACTATGGAAAGCCTCGCCTGCCAAATCCAGCTGTACATGAAGCCCCCAGCCCCCTTTCACTCCCATCTCACTAGCCCCAGAAGTTTGCACCCCGCATTAATTACCCTCTGCTTGGGGGGTGTTGTCTTTTTAATTAGCCTGGCAAGCTCTCAAAGGGAAGAAAAATGGGTCATCATCTGACCATGCTTTGAAATACAGCAGGAGCTGCCTGTTCCCTGCCCGAGCAGCCGCCCCAGCCCTGCTGCTTGGGGAGCTGCTGACAGTTTCTCTGCTCCGCAGGAGCTGTTTGCATGCTCAGCTGTCTTGGGTCACAACAGTTCAGGTTTGTTAATAACACGCTAACCAAATATTATGACTTACAAGCAGAGAGGCTGGTAAATATACAGATGTAGGATGTAACTTCTGTTGGATCCTGTCAGATAGGGATGTAAAAAATCCTCTCGCCTCTGTCCATCCAAACTAATGGAAAAAAATATGATTTACCTACCAGAATGACATTAACTGCACAACTGATCTGAGAAATTTAGGACCGCTGTTGTCCTCTCACCTCTTTCTTGTAGAGAAGATAAAAGTTACAGACAATCGTGCACCTATTTGAAATGTTAACAGAGTAGGCAAAAGAAACAAGGAGAAAAAAAAAGCCTGTTACAATAGTAAAATTGGAATTTCCAGCTGGTGGGCTACATCTCTCCCTTCATTCCCATGTAATATAGGTATAAATAAGATACTCCTGGAAGTGCTGAATGTCTCACCCCACACAGGGTACCAGCCCCACTGCAGTATCCCATGGCCACTGAGGCAACACACACTGTGCCAGCTCCAGCCACTCTGATGGGGCCACCTGCACTGATTTGAACAGTTGCAGAGCTGAGCAACAAAAAGCAGGATTAAAGATTGAATATTTTGCATAAACATATTTACATAAAAATACATAGGGCAGTACGTGCCAATGACTTCAGCCCTTAAAGATCTGTTGCTCTACAGGGAAAGGACTTCATGTTAACTCATCTCCCTAAATGAGGAACAGGCTTAAGAAGAGAAATCCCATTGATTTTATAATGCTGACTCCAGGTATTTGTCACTAGATGGGTAAAACTCCTTTATACAGAGAAATCTACCCATTCAAATTGAACCTAACATCAATTCTCTTCTTCAGAAGCGACAATGCTTGTCTTTCTGTCCAGCAGGTATGGAGGTGAATCAAAGGTTATCTGGTTTCCTTTTCCTAATCTTCCATTAGCATACTGATTAATTCTCTGCAAATGATACCATCCCTTCATGCCTCAGTTTTGTCACCACCAAAATGTAAGTCTCCAAATTCCCAATTTCTATACAAGTCTTTGAAAGTCATAGCTTTCAGCTAAAAAGCTGTAGATGTTTCTTATCTGCATACAATAAAATGGGGGATTACAAAAATAAAATGAATGTTTCTGTAACAAAAGGGCCTGACTAAAGAGGAGGCAAAGTGATTTTGAGAAAAAATGTATTATGGAGTATGAGAGAGAAGCAGCAAGTGAGATCAGGATCAGAGGGTGAACGGCAGAAAGAAAAAAGCAAAAATTTTCCTGCCTACCTTCAGCATTCTCTCCCCTTTAGCCCTCTAAATATTACTGATCAGTTACAGAGGGAGAGGGGAATTGCCAAAGCTAATGAGATACTGCATCCATATGAACCGCAGCGTTGTCTGAACACTGTTCTCCTACAAAGTGGCTGTGTTCTAGCTCCTTGGCAAGGCAAAATCACCAGCAAAGTGACTCACAACCAACCCAGTTTCGCATATCTCTTTGACTATAGACTGTATACTAATAGTAGGGATTGTGTTCAGCATCTCTCTGCACATTTATTAACACACATTGCTTATACTAGCTTAACCCTAAGAGAAATGCAGTGCACCCAGGGCCCTTTCTGTAGCCTCAGGAATCTGAAGCCATTGATTGCCTTTGTACTGCACTGCTGCACAAGCAGCGTCCTGCCTACCTCCTAAAAGCATTACCCCACCTTGACAAAGTGCTGGCTGCTAGTTATTGTCAGGCTGTGTTGTATCTTGCATTTTGTCTCAGGAAGTATAGAAACATGGTCTTCTCTCCTTTATTCCCCAATTTTGCTTGCAGCACTACAGGAAGGGACATTCATTGGTTTTCAGTGGTTTCCTCATTCCTGCCCATGAGGCTGATTCCCTTCTGTGTTGATCAAAACAGCACAGCAAAGCAGTGCAGCCGTGTTGTGCATCATAGTGCCAGCCCCAAGGCATGCAGCAACATTATGCTTGCTCAGCACATTTCTAGGCTACATATTGAAGCATCAGCAGGAAAACAGACTCGTGTCCATCCATGCTCTAAACATGAACAGTTAAAACCCATCAAATCTTTTCTCTCAAAAGATTTGGAGGCAGATGGCAAAGAATTAGACAGTTTTATCGGTGTATAAAACATCACATTTGCTTTCTTCACTTTAAACAAGATCAAAGGAGCAAATAATTTGAGAGCTAAGATCCTTTGAGTCTATAAAGAGCGATCAACTGGCTCTTTTGGACTGGAGAGAAGCCTAATGAAACTCTTGAAATATCTAATATCTATCCCCAGTAAGTACATTTTTACATAAAAAGTCGTGTCCAAATTCAAGTGTAAATAAGCAAAAAGAGCAAGTAGATTTACGTGCCTATGTTATTTGCTGCAATAATATTAAATTGCTACAATAATGTTGTCATTGACAGGTGCTTTGATACTTAACAAAGAATGGAAAACACTTAGAGACAAGATCATCTTCTCTATCAAGATTTCCTACAAGTGTTTTCCTTCTCATCATTTCTAAATAGTTTGTAGGAAGCACTTAACACATTTTTAGGAGCTGAACTCTAAATCTGAAAGGGTTTGCATGCATTCTTGGAGGGGAGACATATTCAAAAAAGGCCAGTAGACTGGAAACCCAAAGAAAATAAGAAAATTACCTTATTTATAAGGTTCTTGGGTACAACATATGGGTACAACAAAGTCTAAAACAATTTTAATATTCATTTTTGTTAAACTTTTTCACTCATAAAATACATAGGCATTGAAATCCACAAAGTAAGGCAGATAAAAAAAAGATCTTGTATAGTTGCCAATCTTTGCTCAAAGGAGGCTCAGAACAGAATAAAAGTGAAGAATAAATTACCTTGTGTGGAATAAAATAGGCACAGTGCAAACACGCTGCAGATGGGCCATAAGGGACGATTTCTCCTAAGCTCCATCCATCTTCACCTTATAGAAGTACTAAAAGCCTCATAAATAATCTAACAAACTAATGGACATGTTTTTAAACATTGTGGGCTGACACTTAAAGTACCACCAGGGTGGCAGAACAAGATGGTGAGAGTGGAAAGCTTGTGGCTTTTTGTTATGTGGTTATTCTGAAAAGCAGAACAGCATGGTGCACTACAGACACAGTATTTTTGTCCACAGCACTCAAGCCCACAACTGCCAAGCAGCCACATACTGAAGGGTGAGCTTAATCTTCAGGTGGTACCAGTGGTTTGTTTCAGAAAGCTCTTAGCAATCAGGTGGACCATCCAAATGGATTACTGGTAACAGGCCTCCTGAGAGGCACCTGGGCACTTAGCAGCCAGTTTAAGCAGGACAACCCTAATTTTGAGTCCTACCACCTCCCAGCAGTTCAGCTGCTGGGGTGCCCAGCCACCACCCCGCTGAGACACACAAATTCTGGAGTTTGCTGTAATTGTCATTAAAATTCTAGTTTTTTACTTCACATTAAAGACTCCTTGAAGCATGGCGTTGTTAAGAAGCTCACTGCCTGACGTGCCTTTTTTTAATTGCTGTAGTCACGTTAATTAGTACTTACTTTCTGGATATTATTGATTGTCAGCTTCAGAGCTGTTGCTGGAAATATAGGTACGTATATATCTATACTTTAGTTATCGCCGTGATGTGATATCTCCATAACAGTATAACTAAATTCCACTTTCACTATGCATCCTATCTGAGGCCAATGCACTGAGCAAAACAGACAAATAACAACAGCCTGTTTTACAGCATCTGCAGAAAGCTAAATAATGACAACCTACAGGTAAAACAGACCTTTGCAGTGCTGAAACTGAGTTTGATCACCTCGTCTAAAGAAAATAGTGGGAAATATATTCTGCACATTATTCTTACAAATTCTTCTCTTTATCCCTCGGAAAGATATGATGAGATCTACAAAGCAGCAGACATAAAGTTCTCCATGTAAAGGAGAACCATAATAAGACTGGTAAAAAGACAGAAGTTTTATTGCCTTTGAGGAGAAATCAATGACACTGATATTCAGCTGAGATATCATCCTCCATAAAGGCTTGAAAGTTTTATATTTCAGATTTTTTTTTTATCTTCCATTTTAAACAAACTGGTCAACCCTGAATTTGGAGGAGACAGCATAATAGTCAGATTTTTGTATTAATCCTGTAAATAGCAGCTCTGGAATTAATCCTTGCCTGCCCATCTGAGGAGCAAGGCTGGTGCTCTGGGAAGCAACACAGTGCTGCCCCCCCCAAATCCGAGCATGTGGCATAAACCCATACCCCACAGTGCAGGGATAAGGAAGCAAACAGGGCCATGCAAGAAACTATTTCTGTGTGGTTTGTCAAAAGAAATAAAACCAGAAGAATAAAGAATCTCCTAATGCATCTCCTGAATGCCAGTCTGTGGAGACCCCATGAGTGAATACCATCCCCTGAGATGAGAAGGGGGAATTTAAAGGCATGGTGCACATATGGCAAAGTCGAGGCTTGAAGCTGGCAGACAGATTAGCAAATAGGACCAGTTCAACCCTCTCCTCTTCTTTTATTGTTTTTGGGTGGGGGAAATAGGGATTGGCCAAGATCCTGAGAGCCCCATGACTGCCCTTCCAGGCAGATGCTGCTGTCCCCTGATGTCCTGTGACTGAAAGGTTTCTCTTCTCTCCCAGATCAGCATCTTCATGACCCATTTGTCTAATTACGGGAACGACCGCCTGGGGCTATACACCTTTGCGAACCTGGCCAGCTTTGTGAAGAGCTCGACAAACCTGAAACTGCAGACACTGCCCCCTCTCCAGCTGGCACACAAGTACTTTGAGCTCTTCCCTGAGCAGACGGACCCTCTTTGGCAGGTAATGTCATAGCCTCTTCCTACCTCCGATTGCACTGTTGCACTGTTTGTTGGAATAAGGATCTTCTTAAAATGTGTTATTTCTTCCAGTATGCCTTTTTAGGTTATTTAAATTCTCTTGAAAGACCACTTCTTTCAAATAGAAATGCGTTAGCTTCCTCTTGCTCCAAATCAGGCACGTTTAAAAGCAACTAATTGCCTTACACTTGAGAGAAAGCTTTCCTCCCCTCCTCTCTTCTTGACTCCCCTTCCTTCTGTAGCTTTTCTGATGCATCACACTGTGTTAACTAATCATGCCACACTACCAGCAAGATGAACACAGGCAGCCCGTAGCAAGTGCAGGGCAAGCAACGCAGAACCCTTGCGTCCATTGATGGGGAGTCACCAGTGTTGCATCACTGCAGCTGCAAGGATTTCACACCACCCGGACCCCCTTCCCTAAAGCAGCAAGGAGAAGGGATGGCGGAGCAGTCAGCGCTGCAGAATAGCTGCTATTTTAAGAAAGGAGAAGGGTTTGTGCACAGCCCACCAGTGGCTATTTTCTATCTCTGCTGTAAATGCACGACAGTGCTGCTTGTAATCTCGGCACTGTAATTTCCTAATCATTGTTGTACATGTCTGGCTCTTCTCTTATTCAGAATATGATGTGCCACACTGTGCTTTTAGCTATGCAGGCTTGAATCCAGAGTGACACCATGGAGATCCATGCAGTTATTTCAGGCTTACACTGGTACAAAGGAGCAAAAAATTTCCCTATTATTGTTGGCCCAGATGCAAAAGAAGTATAAATCGATAATATTCCCATTGAGTTTAGTGGAGCTGCAGCAATTCACATCATTTAATGATTTTCTCCATTATATTTTGCTAACTTTATTCACTAGCAAACTGTATCTTCTATTACCAGCCAATACCATACAAAAGCAGGATCCATACACTAACTGCTTTAAAGAACTGTCAGTCCTAACCTTTCCTGTGGGGTCTTTTGTTCACACGTTTTTATTTTGCATTCACAGGTAGCAGAAAGATAAGGAGATCAGTAATATCCCACATTTCTATTTCGTCCTTCCTTTTGGGTTTTTATGTAAATTAAAATTGGCACTAAAAGTAATATGTATCTGAAACCATTTTGTCACTTTTGAAAGTAATGCCTTCAAGGTATTCAAACAGAGGTTTCCATTCTAACGTCAAATGAAAACTTGATTAAATCAACGTGTTAATCTTTTTTTTTTTTTTTTTTTTTTTCCCCCACTAATGACTGAACTTAATCCTCAGTCATGCAAAACCATTATATATACATTCAATTTTAGTCAAAGGGACCACATGCCTGCATACCTACATGCCTATAGACTCCAAGTTGATGAAAATGGCTGGACTAACAGAGAGAAGGAAATGCAGTAGTCACAGAGGGTGTGGATTTTGACATGGATCCTTCCCTTCCAGTATTTGCAAGGCTGTTTAGCTTTACTGACTTCTTTGGGACCCCTGTAAGGATCAGTCCTGGAAGATATTGAGGGGCTTGGTGTACCTGAATGCTCAAGTACCTGCCACAATGGGAGGGCTTCTATGGATCTCTACCAGTGACCTCAATATTTGGCAGGAATAAACTCTTATGTGGAAATATGGAATTTTACTATTTTGTGTAAGGCACTGGTGTTAGTGCATAAGGTATAGATCCTACAAAGTCTCACATGCATACAAAACATTTAGGACATCCCTGGCATGATGTACACAGATGTCTTTTTTCACCTTCAGAATCCATGTGATGATAAACGACACAGGGATATTTGGTCCAGGGACAAAACATGTGACCACCTACCCAAATTTCTTGTGATTGGACCCCAGAAAACAGGTAAGAAGTAATGAAAGCTGGGACTGTGCTGGCTTGGTGCTCCGATGCTTTCCAGGGCTGGCTCTTGCTGTCAGTGAAGGTGCTGAAATCCTGGAACCCCTGGGGACGTAGCAATTCTGGCAGCCCCGTCCCAGCAATGAGCAGCCTGTGCATACACCTGCCTTGCACGCCAACTGCTGAAGGGCAGCCGTAGATAAGAATAACACACAGAATTGCACCATGTGGTTGGTGGCTTCAAAGTACTTTTGCACTTTCAAAGCCAGCTGACACAAGCCTTGGGGAGTGAAAGCTGGAAACGTGATAGCTGTATGCAGCTACTGCCACTTCTGGATTCAGCCCACCGCAGGACAACACAGGAGAAAGCAATGCGAACTTCCACCATAAAGAAACATGCTGTCAGGGTGCCCTAAGTTAAGTTTGTTATTAAGTTGTTTGACAAATTACGTCCCCACCGTTTGAGACCCTAATTGACAGTCAACACATTTACCACCTTTCAGGCCTCTGGGGGTCTCAGGGCATTATTTAAATTAAGCCGCATATTCCCACTCCCAAGGTAGCTATCACTGTTGTTGACGTATTGCAGAAAGTGGATGTTGAGGCAGGGAAATAAATGACTACTCCAAGATTATATAGAAATTCTGTGACAGTGACAAAGAGACAGCGGGTCTTGATTCATAGTCCAATGATAGTTTGTGTAGCATAAAATCATTGAAGAGCAATTTGAAAGACACATTTTCCTGAAATTTCATTTAACAACATATAACATTTTCAGTTATTTTTTAACAAACAAATAACAACACAAAGTTATTGTTACTGGAATTTTAAAGCACACTTATTACATACAGGTTTGTTGGCAGATAGACGATATAGACAAAATACACAATGTCACTTGGAAGACTTGAACAAGTTTTTATTCCTCAACAACCCCAGGAAAGCCAGGAAAAATACACAGAGGACAGAAGTGTGGTTCTGGGAGCAACAGAACTATAATTCCACAATTAGTACTTTTGAAATATTTGTGCATGTAAATAATTTAAAAGCAAACCAGCCCAAATTCTATCACTGGATAAATAAATAGGTAAGCATGCAAGCAAAGTCAGCACCAGCAGTATCGTGCTTGCCCCAGAGAGTAGAATTCAGAGTCTGGAAATGGGGAAAATTTAATGAGCACAGAAGAAATCTGCACATGCTCTTCACTCCCTCTAAAAACACCTTGTGCCTTCCATCAATAGGAAATTTTCTTATAAAAAGGTAATCTTTCTAATTTTCCTGTATATTTCGGTATGAATTGATTTAGAAGTACTTTCTTAAATGAAAAAAAAAAAGTCAATGGTGTTTTTTTCTGTTCCTTAATGCTATTTTTTGTGTTGTAGGAACAACAGCACTTTATTTATTTCTTCTGATGCATCCTTCCATTATCAGTAATCTCCCTAGTCCAAAAACTTTTGAAGAAGTTCAGTTCTTCAATGGAAACAACTATCACAAGGGTATTGACTGGTAAGAAGAATAACAAAAAAAAAAAAAAAAAAAAAAAGCGTCCATTAATAATACACTTTAAAACACAATGAAACAATTACAGAAGCATGTATGACATCTACATAATTACTGGATGAATTTGTTATGCTTGGCATTATCAGAGAGAATAAGAAACTAATTTGTAATGATGGGACATTTAATCAAGTCCTTAATTTTGTTTAGATATTACAGTCACAAATTCTTTCTTTTTTTTTTTTTTTCCAGAAATGAATACAATAGCAAGCTCAGTTACAATGTCTGTCTTAATAATGAATAGCATCTCTGTCTTTTCATAGCTGTATCAATTTTGAAGGGGCTGAATTACACTCCTTTTCTTCAAACGGTGCTTTTCATGAAACAAGGTTCAGCTTCTCATGAGAAAAAAAAAAGCCCTCCATAAAGAATTTCATCTGATACTCCTATTACAATTTTTAAACATTGCTTTAACTATTTTTGCTTAAGAAAAACATTTTGTAGGGCTTTTGTTTCCCCAGGGAATGGCACTCTTCATCTTTGTATGAAAACTGAAATACAAGACAAACATCACACTATGTAGAAACAGATTAATCTTTTTCAAGGTGTCATGAAAAAGGAGGAGAAAGAAATGCTTCTCATTTATTTTTCATACCGCGTAAAGAAAGAGCTTGCAGATAGCAACCATGGAGTATATGGTGTACTACACAAGGAGGAGAAGCTGCAGGAGTAGAGGGCTGGGAGAGCAGGGCTTGCCCCACCAGTGTGGCAGTGGCTGGGGCAGCAGGGAGCCTCATGAACCAGCCTTTCTTCCACAAAAACGCTGTGAGAGTGCAAGCTTCCATCAAGGTCCTTCTCTCTTCCATGGTAGTGATGGGGATTCTCCTCTGCAGCCCTGTGCACACAACATAGAGGAAGAGGCTGGCTTTGCTGAGACCCCTTCTGCCACATTTCGCTGAGATTGGCCTTTAGGCTCAGAGGTTAGTAGGGTTGTGTGCACAGGGTGAGGTCCCACATACTTTACTTCCACAGAAAGTACACAAAAACAGCTAGCCACACCAAAACTGGAAGCTCACAGAGTGCTCAGCCAAACTAAAGGGACCAAAAAATGCCTCCAAAACAATTTTACTTTTCGCTTCATCTGAATTCTTCACACTTTTGATTGAACTTCCTATATTATACATTTTTACTTCCAATCAATTTTGAATGGAAAAGACCATTCAAAGACAAAATTAAAATCTTGCTTCCTGAAAATGTCTAAGAGAAAAGACTTGTCAATTCCAAGATGAAATATTCCAACAATGTTAAAATTAAATAGTTGACATTTTGAAGCTTTGCCCATTTTTTTTTCTGCAGTTAAAACTGAACTCACTCCAAACTGGTGAGATCTCCCTCTGACACTGAACTTATTAGCAAAAATCCCATCCATCAAAGGAAAAACCTAATTACCTGACTTCATGGAGGCTTTAGCTATTACCAGTACTGAGAGCCAAGTTCTCTTCCCCCTATTCCATTCCTGGAGTGAGCTGAGAAATTTAATTTTGCTTGTTGTGAGTTATGGCTGAAAATCCACCTTTTCACCTACAATGAAATGGGATGCAGACATATCATTTATGACACTGCTTGTTCTAATTAGTTTCTTTGCCTCCCAGGTACATGGATTTCTTCCCCACTCCTTCCAACATCACAACTAACCTCCTCTTTGAGAAAAGTGCCAACTATTTCCATTCTGAGGAAGCGCCGAAACGAGCTGCTTCCCTCATCCCCAAGGCCAAGATCATCACCATCCTCATTGACCCATCCGACCGGGCATACTCCTGGTACCAGGTATGGACCTTGCCTTCAAGAAACGGACAGTGAAATCAGCAGCAGGGGATGATGGAATTTGTGTCCTTGAGAAAGAACGGGATTTATTGCAAAGTGTTTGCACGGTGTAGAAGTGGAAGGATGCTGAATGCCATCTTTTGCAGTTGGCACCTGTGACACCAGTGTCATAAATGATGAAACTTCTCAGCACAGAGCTGCCACTAGCTGTAAACAAACAGTTTAATCTCAATTACAGTTGACACTGCATGGAGGAAAAGCGATGCTCCTTACCCAGGGAGATGCAGTGGGGAAAATAAGCATGGCCTAGCTAGAAAATCAGAGCTTTTTATGCTGAGAATCTGGCACCTCATCCAGCCCTCCAGTTTCCAGGCTGAGCAACATGCGGTAGTTTACAAATGGATGCAATGCCTTCTAAAGTTTCCAAGGAGTTAAAATGAGCTGTGTCTGTGGAGTAGGGTTTGTTATTGTTTTGTTTTTGTTGATGTTTTTCTCTCCTTGGAAACAAAGGAAAGTCTGTCAGTTTTCCTAGGAAACTCTAGGAGGCTCTTTCATGCCTTTTACTGAGCCCACACCTCTCCATAAGCAAGTCTGTATGCTGTTTTTTAAAGAGTCACTTAAGCATGTAGTTATAGAAATGGCAGAAATACTAAATGCCATGTTTAAAAGGACACAAATGAATAATCTTACCATAAGCATAAAGTACACCGTTTCCGATATTGTTACCCAGAGTTCTACAAGAACTAAAACATGGCTTAGAGCTGCAACTTGCTCCCTTTTAAATATCTCATTTGCACCTTTACGAATGCCAAAGCGAGATGCAGAGTAGTAAAACATTGTGTCTGCTTTGGCAGAGCTTGCCTCCCCAGCCCTCCTCGTGCCCGGGGCTCCAGCATGAGGCAGGCGGAGGCGCAGAGTGGGGCAGCCGCAGCCTTCATCCCTCAGCACGTTGCAAATTCTGGGCTAAGGGCAGGCTGGTCATGGCCACTTGAGAGGAGAGTTACAGGGTGTATTGGAAAGGAGGCCATTAGGAGACCTGTTTCCCATCTTCGTGTGAGTTAGAAGTACCAGAGCGATTTGTTCCTCTTTTTCTCTTTGATCACGGCTTAATCTTCAGGGTCACTGTGACATGTGCCTAAATATCTCCCATTAGCATCAGCGATCCCACGAGGACCCTGCTGCCCTGAAATTCAATTTTTATGAAGTCATAACGTCAGGCCACTGGGCACCCTCGGAGATAAGGACCCTCCAGAAGAGGTGCCTGACACCTGGATGGTATGCTGTCCACATCGAACGATGGCTAACTCACTACCCAGCTTCACAGGTAATTTCCAACCTGTTAATTCAACAAACTCATCAGCCCTCAGAGAGTCCCAAAACGAGTAAGGCCTCATCATTAGAGGTGACAGGATACTTCCCACTGGAACTCTTAGCCCTCAGGAAGTTCAGATTTGTCAAGATCAGAACATTTACCAGAAATGTGTTGATTTTTTCTGTCTTCTGACGGATAAAATGCAACAGGAAGACTATAACCTGTGGCCACATGGGCTTGCTGGGGGGCTTGGGACCTTCCTTCCAGGATTTTCAAGGCTTCTGGGTCTCAAGAAACAAGCAGATGCAGCATGAGATGATGTGGGAAGGTTTGACAAATTCATTAGAAAATGCCAAGGCTTTTTCTAAACAGAAATTTCGTTCCCTCTCCCACTCACTCCCTTTCATAGAAATTTCACATTTGTTTGATTCTGATAGGGGATTAGCCCTTCTCAGTGTTAGAGCAGGAATTCTTTCTCTTCCCCATCTTCCTTCAGATGTTTTATCAAATTGTGTTTTATAATGTTTTCCATTAAAATTTTGAGTAAAGACACAGGCCTAAACAATATTGCTATTACTAAAAAAAAAAAAAGTTTCCAGATATAAACCTTAAAACAAATGCTTTAATACTACAAAACATACGCAGGGGCACTCTTTACCTGTGTGTATGGCCCACCGCACAGATTATACGTCTGTCTATTGTTAGAAACATTGTAAAAGGGTTTTTAGTGAATAAGCCTAATGCACAGGTATCCCCAAAGCTTGCTTTATGTGGGACAAGATTTTGCTGTATGGAGGTAAAACTGAGCATTGCTTATTTTTTCAGGGACTGAGGAAAAAATAAAAATAAAAATAAAAATAAATAAATAAATAAATAAATAAATAAATAAATACAAGCTCTGTCTTTTTGTAATCCTCAGTTTTCCTTTTATGCAGTCTCAGCTGTACTACAAAAAGGAGAAGCAGGTCAATCCCATTTCCAGTAACAAGGAGAAAGTCTCAGTCATTTACTTTCTTCTTTCAGCGCTGGCCATTCTTCTCCTTCCTCAATGGGAAAGGAGTACTGCCCAAAGCAGCAGAGCTTGCAGCAAGGCTGTCCCCAGGAGTTAACAGGGCACATCTCTTCCACCTCCTCTCTACATCCCAGCTTATTGCTCCGAGGAGCACAGGCTGTCCTGGGAAACTCAGAGCATGCAAAGGGTGACGAGCATCCCGTGCCCCATTACCTGTGCTCCTTATCCACCCTCATCCTGGGCTGCTGCAACCTCTCATGAAGATTTCTCTCAGTCTGCTGCAGCAAAATGCATTCCTCTTATTAAACATGCAAGGGCACATTGACATATTTCTTGTAAAACCAGTAACCACTCATGTTTCATAGTTGTAGTGATTAATTTTACAAGATACACAACAAAATGCACTCATTCTTAATAAGGTGCGCAGAGAGTGCACTCACGGTGCTTACTAATGGGCACTCAGTAATGTGCATTCACTCGGCCTGTGCACTCAGAAACTTAATAATTCATAATAAGCCTTCACGATAAATATAAAACACATCCGTCCAGAATAGTTATTAGCAATGCCGCCTGGTACTCCAGGAGACTTTTGATACATACTCTTAACATTTGCTTGTGGAGGTCAATGTACCTTTACATCACATCAATCTTTAATTAAAAAAAAAAAAAGAAAAAGAAAAAAAAAAAGGCTTTTGCCAACAATTTTGTAAGTCTGTACAGTTCATAGGCTGGTGGTAATTCTGAATTAAATTGCCACAATGTAACTTTTGAATGTTTAATTGTATAGCTTCTGAGCATTTAATTCGAAGACATACTTGAGCTTTTTATCATTTTCGTATTCCATACCAGATTTTCCATGGCCACACTGTAAATCTTTGCAATGTTTTTACATTCCTTCCTTATCTCTTTTACTCAGAATTCTCTGGGAATCAGGTTCAGCTTGTGAGATTTAACTCTTTCATCTGAACAACAGCACACACAGAGTTAGAGGGTGCCCACCTATACACATTGAACGGAATAAAGTACAAAAGCAAATTTAAAAAAAGTTCACCCATACGATTGTTATTAATGCTGTGTGAAATCACGTTAATGTCACAAGTAAAGTCACAAAAGGGAAATAACGTCATAACTTAGTTAACCTTAGTCCTGTTTCTAAATAGCCTGCATATTTGTTCCTACAGTTGCTAATTATTGATGGACAGCAGCTAAGAAGTGACCCAGCTACTGTGATGGATGAAGTGCAGAAGTTTCTTGGAGTCTCTCCTCATTACAATTACTCCGAAGCTCTAACGTGAGTCTGTTCCTTTAACATCTGCCCTATGGAAACACAGTGTACATCCCCTCCTACCAAGATCAGTTGATCATTAATTACAAGCAAAACAAAAGACACAAGAAAAACAATTTTCCAAAGCCTAGGTTTTGTTTAATACACATCCAGTCTCCCCTTAACTCGCATGCATGTAATACACTACAGAACTTAATTGCACGACTGCATGCATTTCCACATGCAAATTCCACATCATACAACATACATAGCAAATGACTGCTCAATATTTTGTATTAGACACAGAATAAGGCCCATGTTCATGTAAAATCATATCTGCTAAGTTTGAGTGTTCAACCAGAGATGCCCAGGACATGTTTTCTATGGGAACCTTGTTCTGCTCTCCTAGATGCACTGGTTAAATGTGGGTTCAGCCGACATGAATTGTGCATGTAAGAGCTCAGCATGCATTTGCAAATCTCCCTGTTGAACCTTATGACAGTCTCCAGAAGCAGAAGACCACCTAGTGTCAGCTGTTAAAAGATTAGTTTTAACATTTTTATCACATTTATGGAGAAGCCTAATGACAGAGATTAAGAGAGAAATATTCAGTATGATGGGATTCATTTGCTTGCAAGGTTTCTCTGTTTGTTTGCTTTTAAGGGAGACCAAATGTACCATTCCCTAATCCTATTTTCACAAGTGGCTGAGCCAGTTTTGCTGCCCTCCTACCTGGTAGCAGCCGGGCAGGTGGCATGGACGAGTTCAGTCTGTATGTTTACGGCTTGGTGCAATTACAAGCCAGCACTGGAAGTGCCTGGAAGTGCCAGCAAAGCTCCTGGGGCATGGGGGGAAGCTCAGATCTAACTGTGAAGCTGGAAACCCTCAGCCCAAGCAAGCAGCCTGACTGTTCATGGGCTGGGGTGCCAGTGCTGAGACTGCAGTGCTCTGCAGGAGCCCGAATCAAGGTCCTCAGCACACAGTGAAAGCCTTTTGATTGACTTCCCACGGCCTCTGCTTCGGATCTAGCGAAGGCAGCTGTGATGAGCCCGGATCATATTTCTCATCCTTGCCACCAGGAGGATAAGGCTTTCCCCATGAAAGAGGATTAATGGTCTGTGTGGCACTCTTTTTGACGTATTTCAATTCCCTGCAGGAAGACAGAGCCTCTGCAGAGTCAGGAGTGGGCTGAATTTATCTCTCCCCTCCTAGTCCGGCAGAGAATTGTAAGAAGCTTTTACCACTGACTCTCTTCGTATAAGGAGCATCTTGTCATCATGGGCAGAGCTGTGAGGAGCTGTGCTGGGGGGGCCCTGGGACTCAGTGGGACGAGGAGCCTCGTGCCACAGTGGAGGCTGCTCCCAACCAGTGCACAAGCACAGAGCACCAGCCCAGCCTCCAGCCCACAGCAGAGCCCCACGGCCGTGGCAGGGGGTGGTGTATAGGAAAGGCTGTGCCTCACCTTCCTGCAGGCTGATGTCTGGAAAACTGCTGGAAAACGAGGCCACTGAGCCTCCTCCTACCCCACATTGCCTCCTCTCCATCTACATCTTCAGTATCTCCTCCACTGGGAGGGTTATACTAACTCACATAGCAGGTATAAACTGATAGTTGAGTGCTCGCTATTGTCTGAGTCTGAAGAATGTTGCTGTGCCAAAGTCTTTTTCTAGAGGAGAAATTTTGGATTTCAGAGTATTATTTTTTAAGCCATTGGTTTCTGAAGTGGAGGAAATACAGGAGGAATACACAGCTGAGCTACTGGTGTTTGAACAACTGCTGCTGCACATCTGCAGTGCCTTCTGCTATGCTTTTAAAAATACACACCCACATCCATATATCTTCCTTTCTTTAACTAAATTAAAGTCAGTGGAGCCACATAACAGGAAAAACTTGGCTTCTTGTATGTGTTTGGACAGAAAAAAATGTATTGTAAACAGATCTATAAAATTATGCAATCACCATTTAGAGACATCGAGAATGCAAATGTGTTGTGGAAGCCTCCATATCTGTATGGATTTAGGATGGAAAAGAAAAATGCATTAAACAATGTAGTGGCTTATCCTAGGACTGTCAAAATAAAAAGGACTGCGTGGGATCATTCTTCATCATTACTGGCTAATAACTGCATACCACAGATTTTCGAAGTCATCACAACGCAGCCTAAGGACCTAGTCCTGCAAACACTAGTGAGCAACAAGTTCATCACCCCGAGTAATTAGGTGAACGTCTTACAGGAGAGTAACATTAATGCAGGCACAAGGAAGGGACTGACCAGAGCACCAGCCACTTGTCAAGCCATGGAAAGAGCAGAGGTGGGAAGTGCACATCATGCCAGGTTAGCAAGAGGGGCAGCAGAGACGAGCAATTAGATGACTTCCACACACTGCTAAGCAGGACCTGCACTTGTTGTTCGAATAATAAAAAACAAGGAGGAAAATCAGCTGATATTGAAAGGCTTTTACATATAACAGCATCGATATGAATATACTGGGATACCCAGACAAAGTGCTAGGAGAGGCAAACAAGCAAGCAGCGTTCACGTTCTTCTATTCTGCCCAATTATGTTTACAGGAGTCCCGAGACCCTGAAATACCTGAACACAATGGGTTGAATTCAGCCTGGGATGTTTTTTCCTTTATCCTGAAAAGCCTTCTCTCCTGCTCTCCAAATTTGCACCTTTTAATAATGTTCAATATGCTCATTCCGAGGCAGAAATATTGTTTGGGGCATAGTTTAGCAGTTTTCCTTTTACGCGGCAAACTACATTACTTCTCCTCTTGGGAAATCAGTGGAAGCCAGCTAAACTACTTCAGTATGCAATGAGCAGATGGAAAAGGCCAACGTAGAAATGAGACTATCATCAATATATCCGTTTAATCAATGATTTATTTCTTTTTAATTGATACAGCTCCTGAAACAATTTAGGAAACAAGGGTCAGGCCTGCAATAATAGGCTGGGCAAGAAAAAAAAAAAAAAAAAGCAATGTGAAGAAGGTTTACCCCTCTCCAGAAATCAGTTCAATTCTGTAGAGCAGCACATCACAGGTGCACCCATGTCATACAGACAGACCCAGGGCAGAAAGGTAGTCTGTAACTAATTAACTGCATGTTCCAGCCAATTATACTTCATCCTTTTCAAACATCTGCTGAGTAGCAGAAACACAGACCTTCTCAATGTTTTATGCGTGCTGCAAGTCCCACAGCAATAAATTCAAAACTTAACATTGCATGTTGTTCATTCCTTAGTGAGTATGTGTTTTAATGCCTTAATCTAAAATTCCTATATCTTTGAATTTTAGACATCAAAATCAAATTGCATATTTCAGATAAGATTGCTAAGACAGAGTTTATGTTTTAATGTCTTCTTTAGAATGAAAATGATATCTAGATTTAATGATATGGCACAAACAGCTTCTCAGGTGCTGTTAAGCTATCAATAAACAACCAGCAGTTCTTTCAGAAGACCTAAGCGCTGCTTATTTCACTCAGAAATCAACATAAAGCATTTCAATATTATATTTCTCATCGCGTCTTAGTCCTGCAACAATCACACTCTATTTTCTATATAAATATACTTAAAAGATTGAGTCTGTGTCTGTCGAAGCCAGCAAATAGATCAGATTGCCCCTTTTAACCTCTCTCCCATTAACAGCACTGACCTACAATGTAATCAGCTTCTGCTGGCCATGTGGAGAGCTCTCCTTGAGCACAGTGATAATGTTCATGAGAATACAGCGCTCATACTTCCAGGAAAAGGCCTGGCCAGTAATTTTCCAACAAAAGGTTCTTTGTTCAAGTGTCAATTGATCAAAACCTAAGCATCTTGCTTAGACACACAGAGCAGTCTGACATGGATAAAATCTCTAATCAAAACCAGGTGACAAAATGTGAGTGACAGTCTGGAAAGGAACTGCGTAAGGTCCTTGAGGCTGTGGTTCAGGACCGTGACTGGCGTCCTATAGAGCAACACTTGAAACACGTACCCTATATGCTGGGTTAGTAGAATAAAAAATAGATAGCATAGTCCAGTGTGAAAAACTTGTTTCCTTGAGCTGCTCCTAAGATGAATTTGTGGACAATATTAAATTCCCAGAGCTTTCCCAAAAGAGGAAAGCAGTTTCCCACCCTGTTCTCAGTATTTCCATCATCTAGAGATGTGGCCAGCCATAGTTGTTGACTAACTCTGATGGTTTTGTAGCTGGGAGATTCCTCTGTAGTAAAATATTTCACGCAATATAATCCTTTATAGGTTTGACCCTCAGAAGGGCTTTTGGTGCCAGTTATTGGAAGGAGGGAAAACAAAGTGCCTGGGAAAAAGCAAAGGTCGAAAATACCCACCCATGGACCAAGAGGTAAAGGCTCTGCAGAGATTTCAGTTAAGATTCTTTTTTAATATGCACACTGTGTTTGACTCCTAAAATATAAATATTTTTTATTACTTCACTGGCTTGCTATATTTAAAAACCAGAAGCTTTTAATGCGCTTTGAATGAGAGGAGACTCTCTGCCCCCTAGAAGAGCCTCTGCCTTGGAGCAGAGCACAGCTGACAAGCAGCAAAACCTGGGGTGGGGTGGGGTGGGCTTCCTTGTTTGACTGTGTTGTTTTCACCCTTCCCAGTCCCGGGCTTTCCTGTCGAGCTACTACCGAGACCACAACGTGGAACTGTCCAAGCTGCTGCATAGGCTGGGACAACCCCTGCCCTCCTGGCTGAGACAGGAGCTGCAGAAAGTCAGATAGCACACGAGGGCAGGGGCCCAGCCAAGGACAATTTCCTTCACCGTGAAACCCCTTGCTTCTCCGACTCACCTGTGATCGTCAGTAGAGGACCTCATGAATAACGCTCTTTCTATTAAAAACAAAAACAAATGAATAAAAAAAAACCCGACAACTGTTTATATGCACGCGCTGACAGTTACTAGCATCGACCCCTTTTGTCAGCTTCCAGGAAATAATACGGAGCTACGTGGCATTACTCTTTATCCAGACCCGGATTCGTGCATAGTCTAGTTCCTCTGTTCACCAGAAAGTACCAGAAACTGTATGTAGGACAGATTGACTTCAGTGTATATGACAAATTGCAGTCTGTCAGGACACGAGCAAAGGATGGGAACATCTCGTTGGACTGTGAGGTTGGTCATCTGTTGGTGTTTTTCTCCTGTTTATTTCTCTGTGTGTGTTTTTTTTTGTTTTGTTTTGTTTTCCCCCAGTCATGTAACGTGTCCTATAATTTTATAGGAAAATTCAGCACTTTGCAGTCAGGGTCCCTAATGATTATAATCTATGCAATATCAAACTATGATCATTGTTTTCAACACAGAATGAGGTGGGCTAAGTTCTTTCCTAAACTACTCCCCTGGGATTCCTGTAATAACTGCCAATCGTCCATGGTCTTTCTTTTGTTGCTTTTTTTCCCCTTCACAACAAGATATATCCCAATTTACTGAAGTTGTGTGGGTGGTTGAGGTGCAACACGGTGAGGTGGCTCTACTCCTAGATCTCAATGAAATCCATTCACTTTCATCTTGGCAGGGCTACTTTGCCACCTAGTTGTGTTTTTCATCATACCTGCTCAGTTCCTATAGCAGCTGTGACAGCTCTGAGATGTGAAGTCATAGTACACATTTTCTTTTCAAAACGCCATGGGACTCCTTAAAATACTATCAAAACCTTTTAAAAGCTGAACAGGCCATTAGAGCAGCATACTGACAATAACCTAATGTTGACAATTTTGTTTCTAACTGAAAAGCAATGTTTTTGCTCCGAAGCCTTCAAAAGAAGAGAATGGGTTAGTCATTTAGGGTCTGAAAGCTATTACAGGAAAAAAAGAAAAAAAAAAAAGTTTTAATGACCAAAGCTATTTATTAATGCTTTGGAAAAAAAAAAAAAAAAAAAAAAAAAAAAAAAAAAAACCTACAAAGCCTTCCGAAGAACAGACTCTTTCTATAGACTTTAACGGAGTTGAATGCACAAGCAAGCATATCCACTGCATGTCTTATACACATATATTATGAATATGTTTTTATGCCCGTGTATCTACACATTGTGCATTGAGATCAAACACAAACTTAGTTTTAAGTATCCAGTTTTTGTGCCCATAGATAAATGAAAGGGTTGGTTACCAAAAATATTATATTATGAACTGTATTTTCTTCTCAAATCCGTACTGGCAGGGTTGACAAGGCTGGGCAGAAATTCACCATGAAATTTAAGCTGGGTGAACAAATATCATTTAGGCGTTTTAGCCCTGTAACACTTTTTCTCCAGAAAACAGAAGCTGTGCTACGTGTTATTTATGCACCACAAAATGGAGTAAGTTTCAGTTTTCAGACATCCCTACCTCAGTTCCTAGGTGCAGGCCATTTCAGATGCTGCAGAGGCTTTGAGCTTTCTCTCTCCACAAATTTGATACTTATGTCTTAGCTCTGGAAACAGAACAGGACATCGAGGCTGCACCATTAATTCAGAGTCAGAGCTACCCCTTGGGGCAGCACAAATTAATGCACGTCATGGACAATGGTATTAAAGGGCATTTAAATAAATTTAGGCTTAAAACCAGTTGATACACGTAGATGTCTATCTTAGCACTGTCAAACTCCTAAGTCATGAGACTGTCCACCAAAGTTATGACACTAGCTCATTTCGGATTGACAACTCCAATGCTTCCCGGAGTTATCCTGGACCCATCCTGCTCTGGACAGTGGTGGCACTTCCCCACAAGTGTCCTCTGGCACCACATGTCACCACAGTGTTTCTTGTCACCTCGCCTTTACCACTTTCCTCCACCACTGCCCATCAGTACACACCTGGTTCCCTCTTCCTCCAATGTCTTTTCAGCCCTCTTCTCAGCTAGCACTGCCATCCATGGTCTCGCACACGCAGCCCATGGCTCCTTGTTGAGCCATGGTGAGGAGCACAACAGCCCGTTGTGCTCCTGCCCTCGCTCTTTCTGCAGCAGGACTCACAGAAGGGGTGGGAATGGTGCAGTGTCAGGTATCTCCTGCTGCTGCAGGAGCATGACACATCCAACGCCACCAGTCCAGTGCCTATGTGCACAGGGACACATACCAATCTACAGGAAAGCCTGAAAGACAAATGCTACCCAATCTCATATTTTCTTTTAAATACTGAAATTAGATTTATCTCATATAAATGAGTCACCTACTTTATTTTATAGGAGATGGAGGGAAATAGCACTTCTAGGACCCAATTCATCTCATCTCAAACTAGATTTCTTAAATGAATGAGATTATTATTGGCTGTTCTTCTTTACTGATTAATAAAGGTCAGGAGACAACTTGTTCTGAGGTAGGGCCCACCTGAAAAGGAGGTGGCATTTTATCTTGCAGCTACAGCTGCTGGACGTTAGAGCAAGAGACTGGGAGGTTTGAGAAAAGGATATGATTTTGTCTTGTTAAAGTGTTGTGCTTTTTTTTTTTTTTTAAAGAAAAAATACATTTTTTGTATGTTATATTTTGTAGGGAGAACTCTTCAAAATGAGCTAGGGTAATGTAAATGCCAAATAAAAGGAACCTTACATGTATCTTTTTTTTTTTTTTTTTTAATAAAGTCAGTTACATACTCTGATACAAATTCATGCTCTTTTAACTTTTAGCGCTGATAATGCCAAAGACAGGTAGTCTGATGAGAGCTTTGAATAAGTAAAAATCGGTTAAAGATAACTAAATCAACTCTTTGATAAAATTTTAGCTGTTAAAATGCTTTAAAAGTGGCTTATCCTTAATTAAAAGATGAGTTCAAAACTACTGGATTAAAAGCTAAAACTGTTTCAGGATTCTTTTAAGGAAATGAGGCAAATACCATAAAATCTGGAAAAAAAAATTCTTGTTTTTAGCTTTTCATTTGGAAAAAAAAATAAAAAATTAAGTCTTCCCAACACTCAGCACTGTAATAGCATCATATCCTTAAAACACACTGGACATTTTTATACCTCATTGTTATTTTTCAAGTTTGAATGGGCATCGCATTACCCAGAGATCTCATGTTCCATTGAAAACTGACATTTGAAGTGACTTCATTATGTGTCACATAAAGATGAAATAACAGTATTTCAAAGTTTCATTCCTTCCACTCGTAATAGGACCCATCAACACAAAATTTCTCCAGATCAGCGTATTATAGAAGAGCCTTTGTGAGCTAGCTATAAATGATCTCGATTTCTTTTATGTTTTTGATATCGCTGACCACGTAATTGTTGGGATTCTTAAAGACCAGCAAAACAAATGCAATAAAAATGAAACATTTATTCACGGCAAGGGGGCTGTAGCTGTGAAAGATAATGACAGGCCTTCTTTCCTATTCATAAGCTACAGGATTCATCTCCGCAATACTTCCACGTGGTGCAGGCTGTAAATCAAGACGGGGTTTTACCTACTACAGGCCTACAGCTGCAATTACCTCCCCTTCCCCTGCAAATACTGATTCCTGTGTAGATTTGAGGTAGTGCTGCAACACTGAAGACTCCTCCTGCCCTGTGAGACCATGGGGAGTGTTCCTGTTAACTCCAGCAGGCCCTTGCTGACTTCGGCCTGGTCTTGTAAAGCACAGTCCGTGTGGTTCAAGTTTCACCTAGTGCTATCACTGCTGGAAATCCATCAATAGCTTTATTTCTATTATTGATTGGCAATTTCTTCCCACCCTGCCATATCGGTCGGTGCTGCACCGCGGCTGGGGCTCTCGGGCCTACTGCCACGTGTGCCGGTCGGCAGCCATCAGCTGTGCTTCGCCCCCACCTCCAGCACTGCGTGGGGCTGCACTGTCTCCAATCTCATCATACTGCAGGGGTCTCCACCTGCCCTGGTCTCCTGCATCTCTGGCCCCAAGAAAAATGAAATTGCACAAGCTGACACAGGTGTCAGAGTCTACATACAGCAGCAGGCCCTCAAAACAAAACAAGCCTGTGTAATCGAGGTTCTCTTTATGTACTGACCTCTCAAGGTCGAGAGGAAAAAAAGAAAGAAAGTTGCCAGATTAACTGCTTATAGATGTTTTTTAATAAAACAAATTTTCTTTCTGATATGGGATCAGACTGCCAAGCGTCCCCCAAACAAATTAAGATGGCGGCATTATAAATTCTTGGGGGAGGAAAACGTGGTGTAATGAAAGCGCTGATGGGTCCAGACTCTCTGATGTGATAATAAGGCAACAGGGACATGTCCTGAATACAAAGGCAAAGCCTGAATATTTTCCTTCCTCCTTCCCCCTCCTCCTCTTTCTTCTCATTTGTGTTAAATTTTGAGCCAGCACAGCGCATCTGAAAAGTATGTGACAGGCAGATCCTGTTAGGTGGTGGAACATCATTCATCTCCCAAACCATCCGCCAAGAATAAATGGGGCATGGGGTGCTCCTTTCAGGGGTGCTGAGCTTGGCCACCTTACACATCAACTCCCAACTAGTCATTTAGTTTCCATCAGTAGCAAATTATGTTTATAATGGGTTTAAAATTTATGTTCATAATAGGTGTGTAAGCATGTGACAGCCATGCAAAACAGGTACAACATGGGTATATAAATCAGCAGAGATTAAGTGTCCAATTTTATTGTATTTAAGTAAGATTAAGTTCACCACTGTTGTCAGGAGAAGGTCTGTTTGCACATGCAATTTAGAACTATAATCCAAGAGCTAAAATGATGAAGCTCTCTTTCTCACCACTATTTTCTTTCTGAAAGAGCTAAAATCTCATGCTATACTTGTAGCATCACCTTGCTATACTTGTCCCCATCAGTATCAGATCAAGAAAATTAGTTTTAAAAGTTAGCCTGTCCACTATTATATTAGTACATCTCTCCATAACTATGCCAGGAACTGTTGCTTGAAGGGTTTTTGTTTGTTTGTTTTAAAGATAGGAATTTTCCTGCACAAAACCTTTTCTTATATTGCCCTTGTTTTCTCTTTTTTTTCTTCCAGTTCATCCTTTAGTGTGACTGCACAGGTGTGGACCTGTCTATGGATTTGACTCCTCCATCACTGTCCTATCTAGAAAAACTACCAAAAATAAACAAGGATTTGCAAAAGACACAGATTCTGAAGTGTTCAGTGTTCCAATGACTGGATAACTTTTGTAAGATTTAGTATCACTTCTGTAGTATTTCAACACAAAAGACATCTTCTTGATAGAGCTGAGGAAAAACTTCACTGTCTTGCCCAAGCTGTTTATTTTTTTCCTTTTTTTTTTCCCTCTCTTATCTGACGACAGCAAATCCAGTTGAACAAATTCTTGGTGTTGAAGAAAAATCAAAATACATTTTGATTACTCAAAGTATTTTTAGTTGGGGGGTGGTGAGGGAGGTCAAAGTCTGTATTTGCTGGAATTGTTTTAAATAATTGATGTGCATACACCTTATTATTGGTTCTTCTCACCTCTGCAGAATAAACACTTCTGATGGTGTATTACAAAGAGAGCGTTTCTTTCCTTGCATCTCCCATTTTCTGCACCAAAATCTGCTCTTCGGTAACCTCTGCAGCATATTTCACATTGCACACTGACTCAGCATCCCCTGCCTCAGCAAGTCCTCTGCATGGCAGATCCTTTGGGACATACAGTGCCATCAGCCCCATCCTTTGCCTCCATCCCTGTCCCCCAGCTCCCAGGCAGGCAACGTTAATCCAAGCAAGCCAGCTGCGCACACATTTGTTACACTGCAGAGCTCACATCTATGGGTCTGACCTTCGTGAGAGGTGTGGATATTCAGCTGTGTAGGTAAAACAACCCCATGGAAGCTCTTCTAATTATCACACCAAGCTTCTTTACTGCTCTGTTTGAGGAGTCTTAAAAGGGCCTGATTTCAGCTGATGCAAATTGCCTCCAAGGTGTCTCCAACTGTGCACTCAGAATTACAAGATACTGAAGGTTTTTTTCCCCTAAAATATCATAATGCTTCTACTTTTTATTATAAAATATTCATTTGTTTTACAGATCCATGTCAGAATGAGGTTAAATCATATCACAGGCAAGAATTCTTAGTGCAAACCTTACAGAATAGCAAATTACGCCTCGCTAGAGCTTTTACCGTTAAGCAAATTAGAAATGACATTACAGACATCTTAATACCAGTTTTGGCTTCTTTCCGGATCTGCTTGATGCTTTCAGACAAGGGAGACATGGTAGGCAAAATTTTCAAAATATTTTCAGGCTTCAAGTCTGCTTTTCAAAAATGACTTTTAGGCCCTCAGAAACCAAGAAGTGATTGGCTTTCTATCATAATTATTTGTTATCAATTGAGTCAGACAGCTAGGCTCTTTTGAAAGCTCTCACAGACATTTTGCCTGTCTGCTTCTTTAGATTCCAAATGCCTTTATACATCTAAATGAAGAGATTACTGAACAAATGTAGCCAGTTTTTCCTGTCACTCACAAATCCCTGTCCTTTCCTGACCATGTTTCAATTTTCCTCTGTATTCCCACGTTGGAAAAGGAAGCCATCTGGAAATAACCAATGAAACCCACCAACAAACCTGAACAACACTTAAATTTTCACCTAAAAGAGAAACCTTATTTAGTAAAAGGATAGCAGAGTTCTCCCCATACCCAGCCTCCCCCCAAAAAACAACCAACCAACCAAAAAAACAAACAAACAAAAACAAAAAAAAACATTACTATATAGAGGAGTTCTTCATAAGAATTTACCATTTCTATTACATTCATTATGCCTTGCATTTTTGCTTCTAGCTTGTGGAATCAGATTATTCCCTCCCATACAAACAGAAGCCTGGAAGCACTAAATAAAGTTCTGATATCATCCATTTGTAGAAGAGACCCTTTCTGTATGCAGGTCGTGAGAAGAGAGGAAGACCACTTTTTCATGTATGTAAATATCCAAATTCCAGTTAGAAAATGATTTATAGAATTACAGAAATGAATACAGAAATGAATTATACATGCAATTTATACTCAAGTTCCCATTCATGAAGAATTAACTATTTCTAAGAGAAACCAGATTGATATTTGCATTTCAGTCAGCTGCAGCTGTTCAGTGGGGAGAAAAAAGAAACACATTTAAAATATCTAAATAAACCTGTAACTTCCACTTTTCGTTTACAAAACCATTTTTCCTGATACAGCTAAGTCTAATCAAACATGGGCTAGTTTTATAGTACTCCTATTTCTTCTGTTAAGAGGACTGTGACATGTTAATATACAAATCTGTTTTCACCACAGAAGGTCAACTAACTTTATGAGCTGGTAGTTAGAATTATCCTTGTGGGCTTATTCAGAGGTTATTTTCAGCCAGAGGAAGGTCAGCAGTGGGTGGAGTGGGATTCTTTAATCCATCTAACTTGCAATTCCATAAAAAAATCTATGGGGGTTCAAAAACACACCCTATACTTTGGGAGATAATTGCACACCGTTCAATTGACTTTGTACTTACTACTTTTCTAACTCTGACATACGCTCTGCTGTCTTGCAGAACTTATCTGTAAGCCACATACCCTGTTGGGTAATTTAACTTCCCTTCATAGTATGATCTGAATTACAAGAGCTAGATATCTGAGAAAATGAGTTCTTACAGAACTTACTGTGAGACAGATATTTATTTATAGACATTTTCTTTAATATTTTTGTTTCACTGTGTTTGCCTAGGCCAGGGAATCATCTCAGTATTAATCTGCGTGTCATCCAAAGACGCACAGTTCCCAGTAACATCAATGACAACTTGATATTCTCACGAAGGAGAGAACAAACCCACCAACAGAAAATGTTGTTTAATGACACCGTAGCTATAGCACATCTTCCTGCAGAGCTTTGTGTAATCACACCAAGTAAGCAAAGAAAAATTGTTCTGCAACGTGAAGTGCTTAAAATTTCATAAGCAATCCTGTTTAAATAAAAAGCAAAAATCACCTTTCAGTTACCCTATCTTGACTAAGGGCTGGAGCAACCTCATGATTTTATTGATATGAAATTCCCCCTGCAATACATAGCAGGAGAGAAGTTGAGTTCAAGATCCAGAGCCGAACTCACTACTGCTCATTGCTAGGTAGGGCACCCACGCCTTCCAGTTGCCCAAGGCATATCTCAAACCACACACCACAGACTCAGGGGTTAGAGGTCCTACAGTTACTGCTCTGGATATATTCAGCAGTCTATGTCTGTTATCCCCCTCACAGTACCCAGATGAAAAGTCATCAGAGCAGTTGCTTGCCACTCATCTAAATCCATGGACTGAACCTGGATTTCCTCCCAAGAGGCACTGGGACGTCTGATCTGCTCCACAGGACTAAGAAGGAGGTTGAAAGCCTCCGAAGTTACAATATCAACTGCTATGAGAGATTTCTATACTGCACCTGGCAGTAAAACTTGGCATGAACTGAAGCAAGGGCTTTTTACACGGAAAAATAAAAATTTGTGTTGAAAGAATCTGCTTATATTTGTTTACTGTGTGGATACACAGGCCTCATGAATATCGTATTTCAGGATAAAGTTTTCTGTCATAGCTATTTGCTGTTCTCTCTCCTCCTAAAAGTACGCCTTCCCTGCTGTACTGCAGCCTGCTTCCACTCCAGTTTTCTTCCCTACCCCCTCTCTGCAGGGCTGCCTCTCACCACCAGTATCTACTATTTGACCAGTAAATTCCAATAGCAACTGAGTGCCTTTCTGTGCCAATGTCTTATTAATGTCTTATTATTAATGCTCTTGGCCTTCATAGAGGAAAAAGATCACAAGTAGGCAACCTCTTGCATTTCATAAACTATATACATACACTTTAATTACTTTTAAATATCCTAGTTAACTAAAATACCACACATCAGGAGCATGCTCAGGCTTTCCACACTTTTGCTATTTCTCAGGTGCCCAGCCCTAATTCAGGGAAGCCACCTAGTTATAAAGCAAGACAGAGTTGGATGGCACCATGTGTAAATCTGCCCTCATTAAGTTGGGAGATGTAGTTAAATTTTAAATTATCATCTTAAGCATGAAGAACGTTTTTATGTATCCTGGTTCATCCTCTGCAGACTTCAGTTATTTCCAGTAACTGCCACACTGAACACACTAAAACTCGTCAGCTGCTTGGAGGAAAGAGTTGAGCCTGGAGATTTAATTCCCTTCAATCTTAAAAGATGGGATCCAACACCTCAAGATAAAAACATTGACAGCTTAGGGAGGTACAGGGAGGCAATCCGAAGCAGCTGGGATGCTCAGAATGGACAACATCTTTGCATAACACTTAAACTTGTATTTCCAAAGGTTAGATGCATGGCAAAAGCCACCTCTTTTATTTCCCTTGGTGTTAGAAGATCTGGCTGAAGAAGAGGTATTTCAGGGCTTGCCTAGACTGCTGTCAGAAGCTATACTGAAAGTGCCATACCACAGACCATGTTGTAGTGGTCTTTCTAAAGCCCATTTTGCAGGGAGCATTTTTTCCCCATGCACACATGGGACAAGCTGAGATGGAAAATTCTGACAGACATGTTTTACTGTGGTGACATCTTGCATCAGCGCTTTTGCTTTGGCAAGGAGAACATCTGTATAACGGAGAATTTTTATGACCAGGGGAGCCTGCTAGGAGCTGTAGGTTTTAGCACAGATCCTAAATCACCATTTCTGTAGTGCTGCAGACTTTTTTATTATTTTTTTTTCCAGCATGTCTCTGTATTTTTCATAAACCCCAAGTACTGTTCTTAAGTCTCTGCACATCCACTTAATGGAGCCAACTACTAATCAGGCAACAAGGTGACTTGTCCAACGGGAGAAATCACCCAAAATGAACGAACCTCCCCAATAACAGATGCAAAATCCTACTTTTGTGAAGCATTCTACCCTTGGAGATTTCACCACAGGGCTGCCCTCGGCACAAGGAACACAGCCACCACTGCCTCTGCCTGACCATGAAGGCAAGGCTGCAGCCTCAGTCACCGCATCCAGGCTGAGCCCATGGGAGAAGGGTAGGCAGCAGCCCAGCACCATCCCACAGCTGAGCTCACCCTCATGCTACACCCTGTGAACCCCAAAACGAACATCTTTACATCTCAGACTGGCTCAGATGGCAACAGGGATCCCCTGGGACCTCCCAACGCAGAGAGGTTGAAAAGTTATTTCAGCTGGTTTCCCACTACAATGTCACTGTTGAAACAATGTTGAGCCAAGAAGTGTGTCTAGAACAGAAGTGTAAATCAGAAAAATCATCTGAAAAATATTTGGTTATTTGTGAAAAAGAAAAAAAGCATTTTCTAAGGGGAAATCCTCAAGGAAGAGAAATGTGCGTCCTCTCAGAACCTGTGGCTATGTTAATAAAACTTGTGCAAACATCTCACTGGCATTACACTTCTGACTTGTCTGAAAACTATAGCAATTAGAAATTGTCAGAAAACTACATGCTGTGAAATTTCTCACCCTTCTCTCTGCAGTCACATTGCCAATATACCTAAAGGCACTCAGGATTTGCAATCCATTTAAGAC